AATTCAAATAATATGGTAAAGGACAGACTATTGATGCCATAAAGAGTATGCCACCATGGAAACTTTATACATGCCAGTATTCTCACACTTATTATTATTATTATTATTATTAATAATATTTATTTATACCCCACTTTATCTCTTCCAAAGGGGACTCAAAGCGGTTTAACTACTTACTTACATAAAACCATTAGAATAATTTAAAATATACAAATATACTAACATTAAAAGAGCACTAAATATACACAGTATTTAAAAATTCACAGTTAAAAACCATTCAAATATATTCAATGCATATTAAAAGTTAAAACCACAGCACCCCCTGACTGAATCTTACACACTTTCATCTTTAAAAAGCATACCTGAATAAAATGGTGCTAGCCTGCTGCCAGAAGGACAGCAGGAAGAGGGCCATTCTGGCTTCCCTAGGCAGGGAGTTCCAGAGTTGAGTGGCAGCCACTGAGAAGAAAGGCCCACTCTCTCATTCCTATCAATTGAGCTTGAGATGGAGGTGGGACTGAGAGAAGGGCCTCTCCTGAAGATCTTGGAGCACAGGCATGTTAGTACAAGGAGATGCAGTCAGCCAAATAGCCTGGACCTGAACCATCTAGGATTTTAAAGGTCAGAACCAGCACTTTGAATTGTGCCCAGAAACAGATGGGCAGCCAGTGGAGATGCTGCAAATGGGGGATGCCCACTCCCTGTAGCAAGCCCCAGTAAGCAATCTGGCTGCAGCTCTTTAGACCAACTAAAGTTTCTAAGCACTCTTCAGGGACAGCCACACGTAGAGCGTGTTACAATAATCCAGACAGGATGTGACTAAGGTTCGGTGCTGAGTCCAGGAGGACCCCCAAACTACGGACCTTTGTCTTCAGGGGAAGTGTAACCCCAACTAACATAGGCTGACTCCCTATTCTCAGATCTGTCTTATGACTGACTAGGAGCACCTCTGTCTTGTCTGGATTAATTTTCAGTTTGTTTGCCCTCATCCAGTCCATTACTGATAATAATAACAACAACAACAACAACAACAACAACAACAATAATAACAGTCTTTATTTATATCCCACCACCATCTCCCCGAAGAAACTCAGGGTGGCTTACAAGGCACTCCAGGGTACACATATAACAGACAACAGGTAAAAACGGTACAAAAGTATAAAACAAGTAACATAAAATTATAACAAGCTCCATCAACACATGTAGCATAAAATCAAAATAATACAATTGTAAAACAACAGTAGATAAAACTAACTGCTGTCAATTCACAAGGTGCCAAGTGCCTGATTTCGATGGGGAAGTTCTGGTTCCGTTTGCCACTATTAAAAGCCTTGGGGTTGTGTTGGACTCATCGCTGACGATGGAGGCCCAGATCACTGCCATAAGTAAGCAGGCCTTTTTTCATCTTCGCCAGGCAAGGAAATTGGCATCCTACCTTTCGGTAGAAGCATTGGCAATGGTAATCCTCACAACAGTCACCACTAGGTTAGGCTATTGCAATGCCTTATATGCCGGCCTTCCGAAGTCAACAACTCAGAAGATTCGGATGGTCCAAAATGCGGCGGCCAGGCTGCTAGCGGGATCATCTATAAGATCCCATATTATACCGATTCTACAACAACTGCATTGGCTACCAATAGAACATCGGATCTCTTACAAGATACTGATCCTGACATTTAGAGCTCAAAATGGCCAAGGACCTTTATATCTTAGGGACCGCCTCATTCCTTTTTCCCATCAGTGGTCACCTCGATCCACCCAGGAAAATCTCCTATACATACCTGGCCCTAGGGAGGTACACCTGGAAGCTACAAGGCGTAGAGCTTTTTTGACCTATGCTCCAATTCTGTGGAACTCATTGCCTCCATATATTAGAGCAATGTCGGAGTTGCGACCTTTTGTAAAGGCGCTCAAGACTTGGCTGTTTGGTTGTGCATTTAAGTAAAGTGATCAGATCTAATTTGTCAAATAGTCGCTGTTGTATGTTTTTATGTTGTATGTTTTTATATTGTATAAATGCTTTTTTAAAATTGTAAGTTGCTCGGAGCACCTTGGTGGAGAGCGACTAATTAAGAAATAAAGTGAAGTGAAGTGAAGCTTCATATGGGCCCATTCATCTTACTCAAGGTCAAAGGCCTGTCTGAACATCCATGTTTTCAGGTTGGAATTGAAGGTTTGAAGGGTGATGGGTAATCTAACTTCTTTTGGGAGGGTATTCCGGAGCCAGGGGGCCACCACAGAGAAGGTCCTCTCTCTCATCCCACCATCTATGCTTGAGACAGTGGTGGGACAGAGAGAAAGACCTCCCCTGTCACTCAGAGCCCGTACCAGTTCATAGAAAGAGATAAAGTCTCAAAGATAGGTTGGACCTGAAGTGTATAGAGCTTTATAGGTAATAACTGATGACAGGTTTAGGGTCAGGACAACCTTCTTTGGCTTTAGGTGGGAAGGAGTAGCAGTTGGGTTTCATTTGCATATAGATGGCACCACACTCCAAAACTTCACATGACCTCTCCAAGTGTTTTCATGTATATGTTAAACAGAATAGGGGACTAAACAGAATGCTGAGGAGCCACAGGATAATGGCCAGGGGTTCAAACAGTAGTCCCCCAGCACCACCATCTGGGAATAACTCTCCAGGAAAAACAGAGCCACTGTAAAACATTGCTTCCCAATTCCATCCCAGTGAGACGACCCATAAGGATACCACGGTCAATCGTATCGAGAGGTCCAAGAGAACCAACAGGGACATACACTCTCTGTCTAGCAATCTGAAGTGGTCATTCACCAAGGCGACCAAAGCTGTCTCTGTTACATAGTCAGGCCTGAAACCAGATTGAAATAGTTCAATAAGCTTCTACACAAGAGGATTCCTCAACCTTTGGATCTATTATAACAGTACACTGGATCACTGCATTTCTGTGCTCACTACCCTGAAGGATACACTTTGCCTACTATAGTGCTTTCAAATGCCATCCTCTCAGGAAAAATAATATGCTGCTTAAACTTACAAGGAATACGATTGTTGAAACACCTTTCTTTCAAAACCTTAAGAATGGGATTTTATGGTCTTCGTAATGTGTGGAAATACATGTTTACAGCATTAAGAAATGCACCTCAAACTGGAAATACTGTATGGAGCCACAGTTAGGACAGGAGGATTTTTCAATGGGCAATGGATGCTCTTCTGGACCCAGTTTGCTTAGATATGTACCTAACACATTAGATTATCTTGGCCTGATGTTCAAATGTTTGTTCAACAGCACTTATTTTGGTTAGAATGATCCTATGAGCTGGAAAAAATGGTATGAAAATCACAAGATTCCAGCAGAGCAGAGAGAAAAAACAGTTATTACAGAACCTTTGAAAAGACACCGGTGGTCCTTCCTTAACTGTCAACTGTCATCTTGAGGCATGAATTCCAACCTAAACCGTTCCTACCCCAACCAGGTCTTATGAGAACTTTGACCTAAACTAATCTTTTTTTTTTTAAAGCATCACATCTGAAGTTTAAATTTTATGCCTGACTGTCATGTTGACTGACATTGTAAGATGGGCCGGGAGCCATTGACCAAATAGTAGAATCTAAATGGTTTAAATAGACAAATCTGGTTTTTTTTAAAAAGTACAATCCTATGACAAGAGAGATCCTCTCACCTCTGCAGGAGTCTATTGTATATCATGCAGCTGTGGGCTGGTCTACATAGGGACCACCACATCTATGGTAGGCATCCTCAGAGGTTTTGAGGATGTTGGAAAATAGGCAAGTGAGGATTATATATATGTGGTATGTCCAGGGTAGGAGAAAAAACTCTTGTCTGCTTGAGGCAAGTGTGAATGTTACAATTGGCCACCTTGATTAGTATTAATTAGCCTTGCAGCTTCTAAGCCTGGCTGATTGCTGCCTGGAGATCTTTTGTTAGGTGGTATTAGCTGGTCTTGGTTTATTCTTGTCTGGAATTCCCATTTTCTGAGTGTTGCTCTTTACTTACTGTCCTGATCTTAGAGGTTTTTTTAGCCAGATTTTGTTCATTTTAATGATTTCCACCTTTCTGTTGAAATTGTCCACATGCTTGTGGATTCCAGTGGCTTCTCTGTGTATGTAGTCTGATATGGTAGTTGTTCAAGTGGTCCAGCATTTCTGTGTTCTCAAATAATATGCTGTGTCCAGGTAGGTTCATCAGGTGCTGTGCTATGGCTGACTTCCCAGGCTGAGTTAGCCTGCAGCACCTTTCATGTTCCTTGATTCGTGTTTGGGCAATGCTGCGTTTGGTGGTCCCTAAGTACACTTGCCCACAGCTTCCCCCAGGCGGCAAGAAGCCAGACCTTGAAGCTGCTAGGCCATTAAATGCTAATCAAGGTGGCCAATTGAAGCATTCACACCTACCTCAAACAGTCAAGAGTTCTTTCTCCCACGCTGGGCATTATTCCACAGATATATAAACCCCACTTGCATAGTCTCCAACAAAGCTCACAACCTCTGAGAATACCTGCTATAGATGCAGGCGAAACGTCTGGAGAGAATGCTTCTGAAACATGGGCATACAGCGTGGAAAACTCACAAGAAGCCCGTGATTCTGGCCATGAAAGCCTTCGACAATACATTTTCCCACCTTTATTGTCTTTTCTAGTGAGTCTGTCTTCTCGTGACAGCCTTAACACTGCAAAAATGTTTGTTATGCTGCCTTTACATTCAGCAAGGATGTCCTTCAAGTTCTATGCAACTTGCCTTGAGGCCAGGGAAGTGGTTGGTACTGATTCATACCAGAGAGTCCACTTGGCCCTGTGCTGTCTGCACTGACTGTGTTCTAGGAAGAAACTTTCCCAAAATTACTTGAAAAACACTCAACTGGGGCATTCTGCAGGTCAAACAGGCACTGAGCCAAGCGAAGGGAACACTTGGAGGAACATCGGAGCCCGCCCCTGACTTTCCCCCTTCTCCCACCACTCTGCCCAGTATAGCCCAGTACAGCCCCAGGCGCCACCGTCGAGTTACGCACCCAGGCCCCGCTCTCCCTGCCGCCGCCGCCGCCGGGCAACCGCTCCGTCTCCAAGCCACAGGACGCCTGGGACGGTTGCTAAGGGGACCGAACCACTCCAGGCCTATGGGGGGGCACCCGCGTAGGGACGGAGGGGCCCCTTTTGCCCCCCGAAATCGAGGCTTTCTTGATCACCTCCTAAATAATTCCTTTTTAAATTTCGTTTTCTTTCCCCGCTCCCAATATATTTGGTGTTTCGCTTTGCTAACAGTGATTTTTCTCTCCCTCTTATCTCCACAAACACCCCTCCGCGAGGGAGGAATTGGTAGCTTCCAAATAAAGTTGAGAAGGCAGTTGAGCGCTTTTTGCTCCAAGAGTTGTCTGGTCTCTCTGCAAAAGATTTCTGTCGACTTCATGTTTACATAAATACATACAAATATGCTCTCTCTCTCTCCCTATCCCTCTCTCTCAGTCTCTCTTTCTCTCTCTACATATATCGATGTATATGTATATATGTATGTATAGATATAGATCTAGAGCAGTGGTTTTGGCCTTCAACTCCCAGAACTCAAGAGCTGGTAAACTGGTTGGGATTTCTGGGAGATGTAGGCCAAAACACCTGGGGACCCACAGGATGAGAACCACTGCAATAGAATGTATTTAAATGTATTTATGTAGACATTAAGTCAAAAGAAAACTTTTCTAGATCTATCTATAATACACACACACTTATACACACACACACACAGAGTAGAGTCTCGCTTGTCCGACCTTTGCTCATCCAGTGTTCTGTATTTATGTAGACGTGAAGTCAAAAGAAAACTTTTCTAGATCTATCTATAATACACACACACACACACACTTATACACACACAGACACACACACACACAGAGTAGAGTCTCGCTTGTCTGACCTTTGCTCATCCAGTGTTCTGTATTTATGTAGACGTGAAGTCAAAAGAAAACTTTTCTAGGTCTATCTATAATACACACACATACACTTATACACACACACAGTAGAGCAGGATCCTCAAACTAAGGCCCAGGGGCTGGATCCGGCCCTCCAAAGTCATTTACCTGGCCCTCACTCAGCATCAACCTAAGTCTGAAACAACTTGAAAGCACACAACAACAACAACAATCCTATCTCATCAACCAAAAGCAGGCCCACACTTCCCACTGAAATACTAATAAGATTATATTTGTGAAAATTGTTCTTCATTTTAATTATTGTATTGTTTTAAAGTGTTTTTTGCACTACAAATAAGATATGTGCTGTGTGCAAAGGAATTCATGCGGGTTTTTTTTTTTTCAAATTATAATTCGGCCCTCCAACAGTTTGAGGGATTGTGAGCTGACCCTATGTTTAAAAAGTTTGAGGATCCCTGCAGTAGAGTCTCACTTGTCCGACCTTTGCTCATCCAGTGTTCTGTATTTATATAGACATGAAGTCAAAAGAAAACTTTTCTAGATCTCTCTATAATACACATGCACACTTATACCTTTATATATATACTAGCCGTCCCCTGCCACGCGTTGCTGTGGTCCAGTCTGTGTATATGTGTTTTATGTGTGTATATATATATGTGTGTATATGTGTTTGCATATATATGTGTGTGTGATTTTGCACATGTGTTGTAATGTATTTTGGGGGGTGTTGCTTTTTATGTCTCTTCTGCTGTGTTTTTTAGTGTTTTTATGAGTGATGGTCACTCGTTGACACAAAATTTGCGACCAAATTTCGTGTCAATTCGTCCAGTGGTTTTTGAGTTATGGTAATCCCACAAACGAACATTACATTTTTATTTATATATGGATATATACACACAGAGTAGAGTCTCACTTGTCCAACCTTTGCTCATCCAATGTTCTGTAATTATCCTGACATGAAGTCAAAAGAAAACTTCTAGATCTATCTATCTATCTATCTATCTATCTATCTATCTATCTACATACACACACACAAATATATTCTACATTCTGTATACATAGAGAATATAGACACATACAGTAGAGTCTCGCTTATCCAACTTTCACTCATCCAACACAGTATTGAAACAGCTGTGGATCCTCCCGCCCGGATCCACAGCTGTTTCAATACATTGCGATGTTTTGTTGCTAAATTCATAAATACAGTAATTACTACACAATGTTACTGTATATTGAATTGATTTTTTTATGTCAATTTGTTGTAAAACATGTTTTGGTGCTTAATTTGTAAAATCATAATGTAATTTGATGTTGAATAGGCTTTTCCTTAATCCCTCCTTATTATCCAACATTATCTACCAGTCCACATGGATACCAGTTAACTGAGAGTCTACTCTCTATCTATAGTGTGTATATATGTGTGTATATTATATAGACACACAGAGAGAGTAGAGTCTACTGTGTCTGAAGACAGATAGACACAGAGTCTATATACGGTAGAGTCTACAGTAGACTATATCTACAGTGTATGTGTGTGTAGATAGACACAAAGTATGTCTATACAGCAGAGTACAGTAGACTATACACACACACACAGCAAACTCTTAGGGCCCTTCCAGACAGATCCTATATCCCAGGATCTAATCCCAGGTTTTCTGTTTATCCCAGATTATCTAATCAGTGGTTCTGACCTTTTTTTTTTGACCAGGGACCACTTTGACTAGGGACCACTCTCCAACATTAGTACCAAAAGGGTTACAAATCCATTTTTGTTCAATTTTAGATTTGGTTTATTAGATTTATGGTTATTTGGGGTGCTGATTCAGAAAACTGCATTGGATAGACCACATCAGCTCTAGCTTCTGTTACAGAACATATGCCATCCAGTAGTCGCCATCTGCTTACCAAAGAAAACCATATTTAACAATCTTGAGCTAATGTGGTAGTAGTAATATTTTGTAGGTAGTCAGCCTCTTCCCTCCCAACATTTCCTTGGCACTATAAGAGGGCTTTGTGAGACCAGTTGCACTCATTGCCACGTAGTTTCGTGGCAAAGGTGTAGTAATGGTGAGGTCGCGGACCATATTTTCATTCTTGCAGATCACCGGTGGTCCACGAATCACAGGTTGGGAACCACTGAGATAAATGGTTGCTTGAGTGTTACTCTTAAACATAAGCCTAACTGATACTGTATCCCATACTATACCATATCAAACCACAAAATCTATATTAATTTGCTATTAAAATTGAAATATATTATTTTTTATTAATTTATACTCCGCATTTTCCCCCATCAGGGATTCAAAGCGACTAACAACAAGGTATAAAACATATAGGTACATTAGGACAAAAAGGAAATAGACATAATTACTTCATTTAATATAGTAATTAAAAGCAAATAAAGACAAACTTAAATTAATCTAATGGAATTGTACTGTTATGCAACCTTTTAAAAAAACACATTTCTTTTATTTATTTTTATTTTTTTATTTTTTTGCTTCAACATTCTGGTTGCATGAATCTACTGTGCAATATTATAAGAAAAGAGATTCTACTTAATTATTAGGGAAACCTTCCTGATGGTGAGAGCTGTTCAAACTTCCTCAGAGGCTATGCCATGAGGCTTTTAAACGGAGATTGGAGGGCTTTCTCCCAGGAGTTCTTTAGTTATCTATTCCTACACAGTAGGGACCTTAACTAAATGGTCTTGTAGTCCCTTCCAATTTTGTGAGTAAAATTGTGAGCAAAAGCAAAGTAACCGAGATAAGCGTATTCTAAAGTTACACAGGAAGCAATGAATGTGAAATATGCACCACAAATAGAATGGAAAAACAGGACTTTAATGTGGTGTCGAAAGCTTTCGTGGCCAGAATTACTGGGTTGCTGTGAGTTTACCAGGCTGTATGCCCATGTTCCAGAAGCATTCTCTCCTGACATTTCACCCATATCTATGGCAGGCACCCTCAGAGGTTGTGAAATCTGTTGGAAACTAGGCAAGTGGGATTTATATATCTGTGGAATGTCTAGGATGGGAGAAAAAACTTGTCTGTTGGAGGCAAGTGCGAAAGTTGCAATTGGCCACCTTGATTACCATTGAATAGCCTTACAGGACTTCAATGGTTAGGTAGAGTTGGAACTTTTACCAGGTGTCATTTGTCATGCAAGTAGCATTTCTTAAAATCCCTCTTCTGTACAGCTATTAAAAGGGACACAACCCTGTCCTCTTTGGTGTCTTCTTGCCATGGTTGTTGAGTGTAGAACTGCTGTTGAAGGCTGTAGTCCTGAGGGTAAATCCTATCACACATCCAAACTTTCTGAGAAAACATGAGTACGATTGCCCTGCATGGGGACATCCTTCATATTTGGCTTTAGGGCTTGTACAGAACATGAAATTGGACTATCCTTTCACTTTTAGTGAATTGCACCGTTTGAGCACTTAGCTATCAATTTGTTTGTGACAGTTTCCATCTTACGGATTCAAGGGATTTATAGCTGAAGAATGCAATGTAGTTCAAGCAATTGCACTAGGAACAAATTCTACGTGCCCCATCAAACTATGAACTCCAGGAAAAGAGCTATAATTGGGCAGTATGGATCCACTACATATCAATATAAATGAGAAACGGTTACAGAAATTGGGTTGTTGTAGGTTTTTCAGGCTGTATGGCCATGTTCTAGAAGCATTCCCTCCTGATGTTTTGCCTACATCTATGGCAGGCATCATCAGAAGTTGTGATGCCTGCCATATATGCAGGCGAAACATCAGGAGATAATGCTTCTAGAACATGGCTATACAGTCCGAAAAACCTACAACAACCCAGTGATTCTGGCCATGAAAGCCTTTGACAATACATAGTTACAGAAATAAAACCTATGTGATCCCTTCATGATGTGGAGCTAGTCACAACAGATTTCTATATATAAAAAAGAACTTGCAAAAGAGCACGACAGGCAGGAAACGAATGCAGACTATGAGGTTTATGATATAGCCATGATTCATCCATAGTGGGATTTCAAATTTGAAAGGATGGCTTTGTTATTTAGTTATTGGGACTGGCAGCTTGGCCACATGAGGGCAGTGAAAATCACCCAATGAGCAATATCCATTTTCTTTGGGTT